AGTCGGTGGTCTTCATCTTCTCGCTGATTGATTGCTGCGCCCTCATCTTCCTCTCCGTCTACTTCGTATCCTTCTCCTCTGGGCTGGGGGAAGGGGCGCCCGGGTTGGGTAGGGTTTGGAGGACTGAGGTTGGGCTGGGCCCGTTGAGGCGCTGCTGCGAGCGGGGCCGGAGCCGCTGGGCTGCCGGTGGGGGTAGAGGGCGAGGGGCGTGAGGGCCTGCGCTGGGTAATGGTCGCTGACGGGGCGCTCCCTGGGCAGCAGCCGGTGGAGGGAGGTTTGGGAAGGTGGAACGCCTCGCTGCGGGGTAATGTGGGTGATTCAGGGCCCAAAATACCTCCGGTCCTTTGAGTGCTGGAGCTCGGGTCGCTGCTGCGGGCGTATGCGGCCGGTGCTACGGAAAATACCTCGGCAGCAGTGGTACACGCCTGGTGCTAATGTAGAGGAAGGGGTGTCGAAGCGTGCTTCATACCCTCAGAAATTTCCCAGGCCTAAAAAAACGTGATAAGGATACCTTATTCTGTTTTAGATATGAGCTTATAACCGAGAGACCATTAATTCCTCAATAAACAAAATTTCTATATTCTTTGTTACAAACTTGCCTGCAGTCTTTGCTGTCTGGTTCTGTTACAATGTAAAAGCTCTGATTTGGTGCTCTCTTCTTATTTTTGTGAGTAAAGGAGAACTGGCTCTGGTGATCTTTCAAATCCTGGTGCTATTTCAGAATCTACCCAGTTCTAATAGGGAAAAAAAAGGTACAGAAGCACTTGGAAGAAAATAATCTTAGAAGGATTGGTTGATTTGTTGAAAAATAAGAAGAGCTTACCTACTTTTTAGGGATAGAAAAAAATCTTGTGCTTTTCCATTTTCCTCTAGAAAAGGAGCATGAGTTCTGCAGGACATAGCATGATGATGACATAGCATGATGATGCACATGCAAAGCCTTTTGAGAGATTCATATATCGGTTGAAAGGTCATTTGATAATGCTATTTCCTAGCAAAGTCTTAATTAATCCAATGTTGCTGTAAATGTAGAGAAAAAAAGAAGTAGATCCACTTTTTAAAACTGCACTATTTGGCTTTATTGTGAGGAGAGTTTAAGAAGTGCAGTAACTTTTTCTTCCTTTTAAGTTCTGGTTTCAAGTGTTGTAATAGTAATTCTGGTATGAAAAATACTGACTTTGTTTCCCTGATCTTTTTAAAGTGTTGAACTGAACTTTAGCACTTGTGCAACAGTTGCTGTTTGGAAAACATCATAAAATCACTTGGCCTGATAATAAAATGTGGCCTAACGTTCTACCTAAAGTAGGAATGGGTTGTAACTAGTTGAGTGCCTTTGGTAGATCAGCTGTAGAATGAGTCAGTCTACGCTGAGAGCAGAGTGCTTTCCCCAGCTTTTTGGATCAAAATAAAGCTTTGGGTATTCTGAGTTACTGTACAATTTTTCCTTACCTGGACTTCAGATAATTACACTATCAGATTTGGAATGCGACTACATTAACGCTAGATCGTGCTGCTCAAAACTCAATAAAGTAAATTATTATTCTTTGCATTTGTTGTGTTTAAGAAAACAATCCTCCATCTTAGCATCACAAATAATAGGGGTACAATATATACCTGAAGAGATCTGATTGGCAATGTTTTGCACGTATCCTTTCTTTCAGTCTGCTGGTCTTTTTTCAGATGCCCATCTTTTAGCAAGTTCAGTCTACAAAAGGCTGTTTCTCTGAGCCTTGGCGCTCTGAGATGGGCTGTTGCTCTGAATTCATGGGACTGACACTTAATTGTTTGCAGAGCTCTTGAGTTCCATGCTTCCGTTCCTGTAGGTGTGCCTCACCAAGGATGTCTACCCAGAGTTCATTCACAAGATCTTTATAGCAGCTCCCTCTGACGCTTCTGTATAATTTCTAACCTCTCTTGAACAGTAGAGAGTTTGAAAGTGTTAAGGAAAAGTACCATTTCAACCAAATCTGCTTGAAACTGATTTCATTAAATCAATGTGGCTTCTCTGCATGGGTGTTCATTTTGATTTAAAGGGATTTTCTTTCTCGGTGTAAGAGAGAATGCTATAGGATACTACCAAGCCCAAAATGTGTTATTGCCAGGGGCTGACCCAGTTTAACTATGCCAGTTTTCATATTGATAAACTTTATCTGTTCCAAGCTGGAGGGTGTTTGTATGTCCTGTGTCTGTGCAGATTTTAATTATCTTTTTCTCTCATTCCTAAATCAAATATTCTCTGCAATTATTTCAAATGAGCACTGTATACTTTCTTAACTCTTTCTTAAATACTTGTGTAATATAGTATTCAAATACAACTTCTCTGTAGAAATTTTTGGAATACGTGGATAAAGTACCTCTGTTATAATATCTTAGGGCTTGATTTCTGGCTTACTCGCATGCAGTCTGTCTAAAGGTATAAAATTTCCCATATTGTGGTGAAATCACATGATTTTTTTTTCTTCCATGAATTTTCTCTCCGAGTCTGATGTTACTGGAATCTGATGATATCTCCTTATATATTTCATTTTCTGAAAGGAATCATAGAATCGTTATGGCTGGAAAAGATGGAAGTTATATTCGTGTGTACAACTTCTTTCTTTTCTTCCTTTTTTACAGTGGGTGGTCCCTGAGGTGATTGGCCATGCTATTGTAACTGTATTAATGCTTATTTCATTACACTGGTTCATCTTTCTCCTTAATTTGCCAGTAGCCACATGGAATATATATAGGTAAGTGCAAAGGATTTGTGTGCTTTTTTTTTTTTCCCAAATGTTACTAGTTTAGCTTTAAGTGTAGTATGAAGATAAATAATATGTCACGGTGAGATGTTTCCGTTGTGTTCTTGAGCTGCTAACAGATTTCATGGATCTACCTACCATAAAACTCTCTTCTTCTTGCAATTAAAATTACAAGAAACCCAACAGTGGAAGGGATATGAAGCTTTTGGCCTTTCCTTACATTCACTGTAGTGCTCCACAATCCTGAGTTGTGAATCATTCCCAAGTTTGTGGGAAATAGTGGCATGCTAATTGGATTATGAAGTAGTAATGCAAACATAGTTGTTAATGGTTTTCGTCCTGTGCCTATATCCGTGATAGTGATATCAGCATGAAAGTACTTAGGTCAGCATGGCTGATGGTTGTAAAACCATCGGGCTGTGGTGTTATACCCTACACCCTCCTTCATTTACTCTCTTGGCTTCATTTGCATTGTTTTTGGTCCCCTATCTTGCCTCTTTGTATTTGGAAAGCTTTGCAGACTTTTCATCTTATGACAACTCAGTGTTACTGGTCTTTGTGTACTGGGCCGACCACTACTTTGGAATGGTTTATTTGCCAGTAGGGGTTTCCATGTGGCAAGGCTGAGGTTGGTTCAGAAATGTTCTTTTTATTGTGTCTCACTTGATGAGCAGAGAATGGAATCTTTACAGGTGTTGTGCTAATGAAAACTGGGTGTGGATTTGTCGCAAATTCTCTCTAATCACTGTACTACAGGAAGTTCAAAAGTTTAAGATGCAGGTATGAAAAGCTGGCTGTAATTCTTGTCTGCCTGAACCTGCTAGGGCTAAATATTTGCAGGGATGGGTCAAGTTGTTGGTAAGATTAAACAAAAAGTTTCGTAGCTCTCATTAACAAGAGGCTGAGAATCCCTTTACCGATAACCTCATTGTTCTTGGGCAAAATAACCATGCATTTATCAGCCCTGTTTTCTACAAAACTGCTGGCAAAGTTTTCAACTGTTTCTAAGCTGGAGTAATAGGACACTTGTATGCTTAATAAACAAATGTTGCCTAAATACGCACACACAGAGTTTTGTTTTGCCGCTTGTAATACACCTGTATTGTACACTATTGCACAAAATGACCAGTACTCCTGCTGGTAAGTATGGAGTTTGGATTTGGTGTTTAATTTATGCTAGGCTGTTTCTACAGAGACACTAGAAAGAAAATGCATTTTCTTTGAAGCGTTGAAGATTTCTTGTACTGGTTACCCCTTTGCTTCTTCCTTTTGCTTACTTATTTTAATGTTTAAAGTAGCCACTTGCTTTCCCTTCTAAACCTGGTCTGAGAGAATTTTAAAAAGATGCAGTTATTTCTGTTTCCACACTTGAGGCAGTAAGCTTTGCTGCTCTCATTCTGTATTTGTCATACAAATAGGAAGGCATTCTGGATATCCTAAAATCCAGGTTTATTTCCTCAATTTTAGATGTGCAGTGTAGGCAATAAATGAAAATGATACTTTGCCTGTCCTGCCACCTGTATTGCTAATCTTGCCTTCTTCCTGAGTTTCACCCAGGTTATCCTAGACTATTCCATCTATAAGAAAGGACTTGGAGCTTTGCAATAGCAAGTGTGTTGTTTAGCATTATAAAAGTAATCTGATTATTTGAGATAAAACTTATATTTGACATTGGAGTATTCAATGGACAAAAGGTATGTTAGTCAGAAAAATGGTGGACTGTCAAGTAGTTTGCATACACTGAAGAGAGGTGAAGGTGTCAATAACTAAACTAGGATTAAGTGGGAACAAATGAAGGGTGTACCCATTATCATGAGCTGCAGGCTTCTAGCATCAGCTTAATGTGTTTGAATCTTCTTTGTATGTTAGAGTATTTCAAGAACCAGTTTATGGAGTAAAAGTTGCTGCACATGAATTCAGAAAGGTTTAAGATTATTATACTACTCCAAGTTGAGTACAGAAATCAAAATAATTGGTTGAAATTGAAGAAGTCTGTGCTTTGTAGTATATCTAAGTGGCAATATAGAGAAAGGTGGGATGATAATCCCTTCCCCTTAGTCTCTTTCCTTCAAAACTTGCTTAATCTTGATGAGTAAATGGTGCAGTTACAGGGAGTACCGGCTTAATTCACTAATTGTCTCAATGATTTCGGTGAGAGTACAGAGGTGGTGTGTGAAAGAGGCATCAGAAACAAATCCAAGGGAGGATTATTTGTTCAAAACCAGCATCAGGGAGACTTTCAAAGTTGCAGCATGTTTACTGTAACATCCTCTTGGCCCTTCTTGTTCAGCATACTCAGATGCTCATTTTAATTTGGTTTGGTTTTTTGCTGAATTTTGTTATGTCTTGTACAATCTCCAGTGAGACATAGTTTTGTCTTACATTCTCCTTGTTTTAAAACTAGATATTGAAGGAGTTTATTTGAAATCTAATATTCCGTAGACCTGCTACTATGTAAAAGAAGCAAGATATACAAAGGAAAAGTTGAATGTGACTAGCCAAAAAGAACGCAACTCAGAAGTTTTTTTAGGAGTTGAACACTTCCCTTTCTTTGTTGTTACATAGACCTGCTTGAGACAATAGATCAAAATAATGTGATTCTGGTCATGTCTTTAAGTAGATCATACTCCTCTTAAAACTGAAGGAGTTGGTTGGGTTTTAAAAAAAAAATAAATTAAAAAAATCTCTAAAATATAGTGAAAATTCTGACCAGGACTTCCACAACCCTTACAAAATGGTGCAATCTAGAGGGAAATGTCCCGTTGTAGCTTCCGTCGAATGGAAATTCTGGAGTTAGCAATGCATATATTTATTAAAGCTGCCAGTTCTCTTGTTCTGTGTGGTTTTACTGCACTTTTTTTTTTTTGCTTTTTAGAGTATGACACCTGGCTTGAGTTGCGTTTGGCAACATCTTGGTGTCATTGTGTCCATGACTGCAGGTCCTTAGATGTATGATATAAGCTGTACTAAGTTGTGGGCCTCTTGGAAAAACGACCTCCCAAGTTCTGAAACCTTTAATTAAGTTTCAACATTTAAGTGTTACCACTCCTCTTAAAAAGCAAAATTAGCAATTCTAGAGGTACAAGAAAACTATGCATTCTATCTCTATTTCTAGGGTAAATTGGTGCAGGAAACTTGTATTCTTCCTTGTAATGCATTTTATTGGAGTAGTTTTCCAGTGAAGGGATGATAATTTGTGTTATAATACTAAAAATAGACAAAGCGCTTAAAACTTTGAATTTAAAACAGTCTCAAACGGTAATTATTTCACATGAACTATTTCTAATGGGACATAATTGTCTTTGTTACGAGTCAAATATGTTGCAGTGCTTTTTAGTGTCTCTGAAAGAAAGACAAATACTGTGGTCTTAATATTTTTTTTTGTCTCCTGCTGCTGCTAGAAAACATCCTTGTTTCTTGTTCCCTTTCTTCCCCTCCTGTTATTGAAATGAATGTTGTAAGAGGTGGGGGAGATCCATTTGGAGCTCAAGTGGTGCCGTTCTTTGAGTATATGAAGAAAATCAAGAAGTGGTGTGTTCTGTTCTGAGACTTTGCTTTTGCTCCAGGTGTAAGATCAGGATTTAAATCCCTGTGTAGAAGGAGCACTATTCCAGGAAGGTAGAGCCTGTTTGACATTTAAGTGAAATAATAACACTCTTCTAGACTGAGCTCAGCTGGAGCGAGAACTTCATGTGCTTGCATTTGCTCTCTTGAGAAATGCTTCTGACAAAAGAACTTGCTGCTTCTTGAATTTCCACAGGACACAAGCTTTATTTTGCTGGTTTTAGTCTTCCTTTACCTTATACTTCACCTTGTTTCACTCAGCTTTTGTTCTTACGTGGGTTTGGGCAGCAGTACTTAACTTCAATTCTACCCAGTCTCCCATTCTGTCAGCCTCAGTCTCTCTGCTGAGTTAACGCAGGATGGATATGATAAAGACAGGAATAATACACGGATGCTTGTCTTACGCTATCTCACTTTGACCACTGGAGTTTGTTATTATCTATGTGGGGTTTTATTTGTAATTTAAAAAAAAAAGCTAATTCATAGCTATAATGATTCTTTCCCAGTCCCTTTCATCCTACGCATCTTTCCAGTGTGGGTAGATGTTTCCTTCATAACACCAAGTAACGGCAAACAGCAATTAAAATGAACTGGAATTAGCTATTACCTGGAAACTTTCCCATTTATACATGAGAAGCTGAGCTGATGCTTTTAGTACTACTTGTCCTCTTATTCTCTGTGGCTTGTAGTGGCAGAGATACACACAATATCCTGAAGCTGAAATAGAATTAAAGAGCAGCTCCCTTATGTTGAAGTGTGAAACAACTCTTTAGATGAAAGTCCCTTCCGTGCAAGTTCTGACTTGCCCCTTCCCCTGACATCCCCTCACATTTTGATGACTCTACTTCTATTGTTTGTCTTTTTTTCTCTTAATCTTTCAGATACATTATGGTGCCAAGTGGAAACATGGGGGTATTTGATCCCACAGAGATCCATAACCGAGGACAACTGAAATCACACATGAAGGAAGCCATGATTAAACTAGGCTTTCATCTGCTGTGTTTCTTCATGTATCTTTACAGGTTAGTTTCAAAAATTGCTCCCAAGGAACAGAGGAATTCTGCGTCAGCTATTTTTATCTCCTCTCTTCTGCTAGTGTAATTGCTGGTATTTGTGTCTTCTCTCTTTGCATCATGTAAGCCTCAATAAATTTTGACAGTTATCTCCAGGTTTATTATAGGCCTTTATTCTTTCTGATCAAACATTGTTTGGAAACTCAGACTACTCCTTAATCTCAAACCCACTATAAGTTGAATATAAAGAGTTACATGGTTGCAGCACCTAGAGTAAGTGGCCTATTTAACATAGAAATCATCTTGAGGACCAGGTTTATTTGACAAGCTGTGTTTTAGAAAATAAAGTTGATCTGGCTAAGTTAGAAATGGGTGAGTTCTGTGATGGGGCCTCTTACTACAAGATGAGGAACTACTGCTCTTCTGCTGCTGCGGTATTACTTCCACGGTCCTTGTCTTTGTAAGCAGGGTGCATGGCATGGTTGCCTTGACTTTCTATTGCAGAATTGAGTGCAGCTCTTTAATGAAAGCGAGAGCTGTTTCTACTTGCACGTGCTTCAGTAATCCACTGGTCTCATGTTTTCTGTTTTGTCACAGTATGATTCTGGCTTTGATAAATGATTGAGAAGTCGGAAAGAACCATTGGCTGCCAGATTGGGTCATCTCTCCAGTGACTGGTTGTGGAGCCGCAGACACCTTCTGAACATACCTAGAATCAGTGTCATCATGCAGTATATTTTTCCTCTTTGAACAAGAAATATTTTTCTGTATTTTTAACATAAAATATTTTCAAAAGACATTGGATTTGTGTAGCAGTTGTTTTTGTTCCTTTACAACCCAAACTGCTGGAGCTGCTGCTTCTGAAAGATGAAATCCTTGTTTGCAGAACTGATCCCATAGGAATTAAATGATGAGAAGGCAAACTCATTTCAGCAGCATGGGCTGATAATAGTGGTAGTTCCAGAACAAAGTTAAGTGCTTCTTACTGAAAGGTGTCAGGATGTGCCTCTGGCTGTCAGGCTGTCCTATTAGAGCCTAGTTTGAAGCAGCACTTAGAACATAGATTTCAAAGTGGAACAGCAGCACAGCTTGCATCTTTTTGTCAGTGTTTTTTCCTGCTAAAAAGTAATGGAATAAAAGTTACGCTTTTCTCCTTTTCTATCCTTCCCTCTAACAACCTATATGAAGTCTTGTGTTTGGATGGATTAAGGTCCCTTTGGTGAAAGTGACACTTGTGTGGAAGAGTGAAAAACAGATAAATAAGAAA